TGCGCTGGGGGTGGGGGCCCTATGCGTTGCAGGCTCCCAGGGCGTGGCAGGCGTGGCATTTCCTCGACACCGCAGGGGGTGCGCTCGGGGTGGTGGCCCTATGCGCTGCAGGCTCCCAGGGCGTGGCAGGCGTGGCATTTCCTCGCCGCCACAGGGGGTGCGCTGGGCCCTATGCGCTGCAGACTCCCAGGGCGTGGCAGGCGTGGCATGTCGTCGACGCCACAGGGGGTGCGCTGGGAGGTAGGAGGAGGATGTACAGGAGGAGGAGGAGGAGGAGGAGGGAGGAGGAGGAGGAGGAGGAGGAGGAGAGGAGGAGGGAGGAGGGAGGAGGAGGAGGAGGAGGAGGAGGAGGAGGAGGAGGAGGAGGAGGAGGAGGAGGAGGAGGAGGAGGAGGAGGAGGAGGAAAAGGAGTAGGAGGAGGAGGATGATGATGATGATGAGGAGGAGGAGGAGGCGGAGGAGGAGGAGGAGGAGGAGGAGGAGGAGGTGGGGCAGCAGCAGCGACAGCAGCAGCAGCAGCTGCAGCAGCAGACGCAGCAGCAGCAGCAGAAGCAGCAGCAGCAGAAGCAGCAGCAGGAGGAGGACACCGAGAAGGAGAAGGAGGAGCTGCAGCGGAAGCACCGATGGTACACATGGGACATACAATAGGTATGTGGGGTTCCTCGGTAGCGTCATTTTCGTGACGTCGTGTTTCTTGTGTGGAATAGACAGGGCAGGTATGGTAACTCCATGAGTTTCGTTGCAGGCCTTTGTTTTATCGCGTGACAGGGGCGGGTGCTTGGTCATGGAGGAGAGTGGTAATGTCTCACGCCACGAACCGTCCCTGGAGTGCATTGTTGTTTCTTTGGACGTTTGCACTCGTGGTACATTGCTACGCATTTGACGGGGTCCATGTGGTACACTGTGACCCGTTTTTTTCATCGTAAGGGGTGCGTATGTGGTTGAGCTTCCATGAACTTTCGTATAGGCTTCTGTTTACGCTCGTAACCGGGGGCCGTGCCCGTACATGGAGGAACACTGTAATGGCTCACGCTACGAACCGTCCTCGGGGTTCAAGCTGGTCCCTTTGGACGTTTGCACTCGTGACAGATTGTGACCTGGGATCTTACAAGGATAGCTGCACATGGGCTTGCGCCTGGGAGGAAGACTCGAGGCTTCATGAACTCTGGTTGAGACCTCTGTTCACGCTCGTGTCAGTGGGCAGTGTCAGGTTATAAATGGGACACGCCTCTTTGCTCACGCGAGAACAGTCCTCGGGGTTCAAGCTAGTGCCTTTAGAGGCTTGCACGTGTGACACACTGGGACCTGGTTTCTCATCGTAAGGGGTGCGTATGTGGTTGAGCCTCCATGAACTTTCGTATAGGCTTCTGTTTAAGCTCGTAACCGGGGGCCGTGCCCGAACATGGAGGAACACTGTAATGGCTCACGCTACGAACCGTCCTCGGGGTTCAAGCTGGTCCCTTCGGACGTTTGCACTCGTGACAGATTGTGACCTTGGGTCGTACAAGGATAGCTGCACATGGACTTGCGCCTGGGAGGAAGACTCGAGGCTTCATGAACTCTGGTTGAGACCTCTGTTCACGCTCGTATCAGTGGGCAGTGTCAGGTTATACATGGGACACGCCGTTTTGCTCTCGCGAGAACAGTCCTCGGGGTTCAAGCTAGTGCCTTTGGAGGCTTGCACGTGTGACACATTGAGACCTGGGTTCGCACGAGGATAAATGCATATGCGGTGTCGTCTTGGAGAAGGGCCAGGGACTCGATGAACTTTGGTCGAGGCCTTTGTTCGCTCTCCTAAGAGGGGGCCGCCCCCGACCATGGAGGAACACAGTGACGCCTCACGCCACGAACCGTCCTCGGGGTTCAAGCTGGTCCCTCTGGACGTTTGCACTCGTGACAGATAGTGGCCTGGTTTCGCACATGGCTGGATATGGACTTGCGCCTGGCTGGAGGACTCGATACTCCATGCATTTTGTTGTAGACCTCTGTTCATGCTCGTAACAGAGGACCGTGGATGAGCATGGAGGAACACAGAAACCTCTCACGCAACGAACCGTCCTCGGGGTCAATCTAGTCCCTTTTGGCGTTTTCACCCGTGACACATTGCGGCCTGGGCTCATA